CAGGAACATCCAGGAGCATCCAGGAGCATCCAGGTCCCCCCAGGAGCTCCTGCAGGTGCCCAGGGGTGGTCCTGGCCCTGCTCAGGTAAACTGAGGCAGGGCAGCTCCCCTGAGGGGGTTTCTGGCTGAGAGGACACCCTGGAGAAAAGAGCCAGAGATTCCCTGGGGGTTCAGCGCAGAGCAGGTGGGAGCAGCTCGTCTGCCCTGGCCAAAAAATAAAAAAGCTGTGAGGAAAAATGGCTAAAACCCCAGAGATTCCTGCTGTGAGCGCAGAGCCCGGTGCAGGAGTGAAGAACCACGGGAAATCCTGGCTGTGCGTGCCCTGAGGTGGCTGAAGGAAATATTTGGGGTTTGGTGAACCTGGGAGGGGAAGGGCTCTGCTGCTGCTGGCGCAGGGGCAAGCAGGGCTGAGGAGGCAGGAAAAGCTGCAAACTGGGCTCGTGCTGCTCTGCTGGAGCCCTTGCATCCACGGATGCCTCTGCTTCCTTATTTCTGGGCTTTGCTGGAGTTCTTTTTGGGTTTTTTCGCTGAGTTTCACTGAGCTGGGTGTGCCCAGATCCCTGGGAAATGCTCCTGGGGCAGAATTTTGGGCTTTGTGTCAGCGGAAGGTGCTCCGGAGCAGGGCAGGGGCTGGCAGCTCTCTGCTCTGAGCTGGTGGTAAAGTCTGACCCGATTTATTTAATTTTCTCTGAATAATAATAATTCTTCCCCGAATTGACAGCCTGCATGTCAAAGCTTCAGCTCGATTTGAAATGCCTGAAAGATGAATTCCCGGGGAGAAATAACATTGTGTGTGCTGATAGGCCCTCCCCGAGGTGCTGCTCTGCACCTTCACACACACCAGAAAAAAATAAATAAAAATTATAGGCTGGCACAAAGAGCTCTATTTGCTGTGATTATGGCTTGTTTGTGGCACTGGCCATCAGAAGTGAAAAGGAGAGCAGGCAGGGTGGGCTTTGTTTGTGTTTTCAGCCTTCAGCTGGGACTGTTCCAGCCTGGAGTGGCTTTAAGGCAGAGGTTTTAAGGATGGGGCTGCCCCTCGGAGGGTTTGGGGGTTTGGGGCTGCTCTGGAAATCACCTGGGTGGCTTCAGGCTTGTCCTGCATCCTCTTCATTCGAATAAAAATTTGGAAGTCTGGGTCCCTGGCTCCTCACTCTCCTCTGGGCCCTGGTGTCATTTATCCCACAAAGGGCAAAATGTCCTGTGTAAATCACAGCTGGTGGCTGAAGGAACTCTCCACAAATCATGGAGGCCATCAAACTTCTTTTTTTTAATATATATATAAAACATCCAATGGAGCTGTTTCTGATAAGAGCCAGAGTATCTTTTATTAAAGATCTGATTTCAGGGTCTTTGGGTGTGCTTGGGTTGTGGGTGGTTCATTTAGAAGGATCATAACGATTGATGGGAGTGGGATGCCAGGAGGATTTTTGGGGTTTGGTGGTGCCAGGACAGAGCCCAGCAGGCAGCAACCCCAGGCAGGAGCTTTTCCCCCTTTTTAATGCTGTTACAAGGCCTGAATTCAAACCAGGGGCTCCTAATTGGCCCCAGGCTTGGGTTATTTTTAGGATGCACAGGTTTGGAATAAGTTTTCTTTAAAAAGCCACAGAAGATTTGCAGAAGCCATAGAGTTTGTAGGGAAGCAGAGCACAATGAATTTATCATGGAACTGTGGCCAAAAGAGGCAGGAAATAATCAAGGGGGGAGAATTAAGCTCTGCCTGCATTGGGGGGGTGTGGAAGGGAGGGGGTTTTGCAAATGCACCAGGAATCATAATTAAACTCCTGGCTCATCGTGATTAAAATGGAGCTGTGGTGGCCTCCAGGATTATCTGACCATTAGGGACAGCAGCAGCAGCAGCAGCAGCAGCACATCCCTCTGTGCCCAAAAACAGAGCTGTGACCCCAAGGGACATCTGAGCCAGCAGCACCTTCACTGCTCTGCCCAGGAGAGAGGGGACAAAGCAAAGGTCTGCTCCTCCAATTAAAAAAAAAAATAAAATAAAAAAGCCTAAAATGTAAATGAGCAAAGAATCCCCCTGGTTAGAGAAGTTATTCCAGCAAGTGGCTCTATAAATGTCTTTATATTGTTATTTCCGATATTAGTTTGTTGTTCCTTCATGAAAGCTGATTTATTTGAAATGTTATTACTTGAAACACCCTAATCTTTTTGTAATAATTCATATACTGGAGATTACAGTTTTGGAAGGCAGCCCAGCTCTGGCTGGAATCCTATTTATGGATTAAAGGATTTGAACAGCATTGCAAGCTAGATCTCCGAATAGCGGGATAATGTAAACCTGGTTCCATATAAAATGCTTTCCCTCTGCAATCGTAACCCCATTAAAGGCAGATTGTTGAGGAGAGCACTTCCACCAGCAGGGCAGGAGATTGCAGCCCTGGAGAGCCAGGGCTGAGCCTGCCCTTGTCACCGTGCCCTGCGCTGCACCCGAGCCCTCCTTCCCTGCAGCCCTGGCAGCAGCTCTGGGGCTGTGCAGGGACCTTTTGGGGCAGAGCCTTTGCTCTGGAGGGAACGGAGCCCCCAGAGCCAGAATGGGTGTCTGTCAGAGCCCAGGACATCCCCCTGGCTGTCCCCAGACCCTGGCAGGAGGTCACAAACACCCGTGGCTTCCATTTTGGCCTGTGGAAAAAGCTGTCAGCTCTGTATGAGGAATTACAAGCCACAAGGGTTTGAGCAGTGTGATGTTTGAACTAACACAGGGTGGAAAAAATAGAATTTTTGAGTTTTTTTAAGATAAGGAGTTCAGGGGACAGGATGGAGGGATTTGGGCATGTCCTGACCTTCTTCTTGTTCTTCTTGCCCTCCGTGTCCTGCTGTGATGGTGGCACTTTTCTGTTGGTTTAAGGCAGAGATTCACAGTCTAACAGAGGTGATAGGAATTGGTGAAAAAACTGTAAATATACACACGTAGTTTTGAGTGTATATTGTGGGGGCTGCCATGGCTTCTGTACCAGGCAGACCTCGTCAGGTCAGAGAGAAAAAATGTTTAGATAAGGAAAAATAAACAACCTTGCAAACACAATCAAAGCATTCCAGGCCAACAAGGGGAACAGGGACTTCCACCCTCTGGGATTCCGGAGACCCTGAGAGGTGCCCAGCACAGTGTGAGAACATCTCCACGAGCAGCAGCACCAACCCCAGCCAGGATTCCCCAGAGTCACCTAGGGGCAATTCCAGCCCCAAAAAGCTTTGGGGAGAGCTGTTATTTAATTAATTCCCCGCTTAATTTAATTGTGTGTGAGGGAAGCCAGCCACGGGCTGAAGTTTCCTTGTGTGGTAACTGAGAATGGGCCACAGTGGCAAAATTTAATTGTAATCTGCCTCAAATCCATGGGAAACACAGGGTTAGGCTGGAAACAACAGCACTGGGAGCTCACGTTCCAATAAACAGGTTTGGGACTGGGCCAATCTCACTCCTGAAGCTGTTTGCACACCGGGCAGCAAGGGAGGGCTGAGGCAAAACTGGAAGCAGGGAATTGAAAGGTTTTTTTGTGGGTGTTTGCAGGCAGCTGCTGCCAGCACTGAGGTGTGCCAGGCCTGGAGCCCTGAGCCAGGCTGGAAAAAGGTGGGAAAGGGAGGACAGGGTGCCCAAACCCATGGCTTTGTTGGGCTCCCTGACAGGGGAAACCCTCCTGGAGCAGTTCTGTGTCAGGAACAGGAGATGCACAGGGCTTTTTCGGTCTTCAGCTTCTGGTTATTGTTGTCTGCACCAGACCCTGCATGCAGGAAAACAGCACAAAAATGGCCAACAACCTCGTGCCACAAGGCCTTTTAAGCCTAATCAAAACCGAAGTTGCCCAATTAAGAAGTGACAGCTGGATAATTTCCCTTTCTAACCCAATAACTGACTCCTCAAGGCTCATAATGTTTTTTTATTGGTCATCTGTCCAGAAAATCCCATTCCTGAGGTGCTCCCCAAGCACCGTTTGCAGAGAACAGCTGGAAATGGGGTTCCTGTGCCTGGGGGCATCCCTGAATCCCTCCTCCTCTGGAGCAGCAGCGGGTCTGTGGGGTGGGAGCCATCCCAGGCTGCTGCAGCACTGCAGAAACAAGAAATCAGCAATCAGAAATCATTCTCCTGCTCTGCAGCCTGCCTCTTCCCTGGAATGGGGAACAGCACGTGCATCCCGCAGGGTCTGAGCATTACTTATTATTTCTACAGGGATTTGAAGGTTAATAGCTTTACACAAGCCTAATTAATTGCTATTATTTAGTTTAATATTCTCTCCGAGTGCTTTGCCCGTGCAAAGCTGGCTCTGCCACCCTCCCTGCAGCAGGACTGGGGGCAGCAGTTTGTCTGTGGCCCAGGAAGGTGCCCAGCACCCAGGAGAGCAGGGGAAGGGGTTTTGAGGCAAAATTGGAAGCAGGGAATTGAAGGGGTTTTTTTGTGGGTGTTTGCAGGCAGCTGCTGCCAGCACTGAGGGGTCCCAGCCCTGAGCCAGGCTGGAGAAAGGTGGGAAAGGGAGGACAGGGTGTCCAAACCCAGGGAAGCTGAGCTGGTCCCTGCCCAGGGGTCTGTGCAGGCAGACTGAGGGGGCAACAAAAGAAATGGGGGTAATAGAAGAAATGGAAGTAATAAAACATTCCTGTGAGCATTCCTGGAGAACATTCCTGTGAGCATTCCTGGAGAACATTCCCAGTGAACGTTCCCTGTGAACATTCCTGGAGAACATTACCAAGAACATTCCCAGAGCATATTCCTGTGAATATTCCTAGTGAACATTCCTGGAGAACATTCCCAAGAACATTCCCAGTGAACATTCCTGGTGAACATTCCCAGAGAACATTCCCAGTGAACATTCCCAGTGAACATTCCTGTGAACATTCCCAGAGAACATTCCTGTGAACATTCCCACCCATCCCTGTCCTGCAGCAGGATCTGCTCCTGCTGGAGCTCATCCTGCTCCGTGCTGCCATGAGAAAGAAGTCAGTACCTGCAGCTTAAAGTTATCATTTAATAATTATATTTAAAAGTCTACCTGGCTCTATAAATTTTTAATGACAGATTAATTAAAAGCCCAGTTATGAAAGCTTTGGAAAGGAGAAATAAATATTTAATATTTATTAAAATATTCATATGCTACATGTTTTTTAATCTTGAATAAATATTTTTGGATAATCAGGCGTGGGTTTTTTGCGATGCTAAAAGTCTGCATTGTAAATTCAACCATGATTGATTATAAACTGTGCAATCTATTAATTATGAAAGAGCACATGTGCTGCTCAGGACCTGGAAGAAATCTGTGTACCTGGGTTTTATAACCAGAGGAGTTATCAAGGTAATGTGCTCGCTGAAGACGTGAAAGCTTTGATGCACGTGCTGGTGGCAGGATCTCCACCTTCAGCACGGTGAAACGCAGCTCTGCTCCTTCTGCCCAGGACGTGGGCAGTGAGGAAACAGCTCCCCAAACTCAGTGCCAGGGCTGGGCTGGGTGAAGCCTGGCACGGAGGGACGTGTCCCTGGCATGAGAGGCTTGCTAAGGTCCCTTCCCACCCAAAACCTTCCTTGGGTCCGTGAAATCACACACAGAATCACAGAATCACAGAATCACAGAATCACACAATCACACAATCACAGAATCACACAATCACACAGTCACACAATCAATCACACAATCACACAATCAATCACACAATCAATCACACAATCACACAATCAATCACACAATCAATCACACAATCAATCACACAATCACACAATCACACAATCACACAATCAATCACACAATCACACAATCACACAATCACACAATCATGAGGTTGGAAGAGACCTCAAGGATCATCAAGTCCAACCTATGCCCTAACACCTAGCAGCAAGTGCCTTGTCCTGTCCTTTTTAAACACATCCAGAGATGGTGATTCCACCACCTCACTGGGAAGACAATTCCAGTGCTTTATTATTCTTTTGGTGAAATTTTTTTCCTAATATCCAACCTATACATTCCCTATTGTAAATGCAGGTGAACCCGGTGGGAAGAAATGCTGGTGTCTGACTCCAGCTCAGAAGGCTGAATGATTTCTTTATTATAACTATGCTATAATACATTCATATACTATTTAAAGGAGATACTAAAACTACAAATTTACTTTTCTAACTAGCATAACTCACAACTCGTGACTCTCTCTGAGAGTCCAGCCACGGCTGGGTTGGATTGGCCACCAGGCTCAAACAATCCTCACCAGAATCAAACCAAGCATCACCCCAGGTAAACAATTCTCCAAACACATTCCACATGGGAAAACAAGGAGCATAAATAGAAATTGTTTTCTCTTTCTTACCTCTGTGCTCCTCTGTGAAAAGTCCTGAGAGAGAGAAGAACGTGCCTGACACACCTGCCTGTGCCCTCTTGTTCCAAAGACATTTCAGGTTCAGGGGTGCTGAGGGTGTTTCCATCTGCCCAAACCCTGAGCTGCTTTGGGTTCCTGCAGTGTTTCCTTTCCCTCTTTCTTCTCTCTCTTTCCTCTCTTTTTGCCTCCCCAGCCCTCAGTTCTCCCCCAGCAATGGGACTCGTTCCCCACGAGGTTTCCCACCACTCCTGGAGGCTCCCGGTGCTCTCTGGAGGAATCCCAGCAGCACAAAGGGGCTCGGAGCAGGAGGAACCCCAGGTTTTCATGAGCTGAGCCGACCCTCCCTCCCTGCCCTGACTTGGGAGCTGCTCCCTCCTCTCCTGCCAAGCTGAAGGATGCCTTAATTCTCTTTTTCAAAGGCTCTTAGTGCGAATTAGGGTGGAAGTCAGAGCTGCTAAAGACACCAAACAAAACAAACAAAGGCAAACATGAAAGGCTTGTTTGGGGGTGGGTTGCTATCCTCCGTGGAAGGATTATTGTTGATTTTTATGGGAAGTTCAACCCCGAGGCTGGAGGGCAGTGGCATTACTTGAGCAAGATTGAGCTGTTTAAAATTTCAGAGTTGTGTGCCAAAAACAAACAAAATAATAATAATAATAGGAAGCTGTGTGGAGAGGAATGTGCTGACAGCAGGGAAGTTTGGGTAATAATTCATGTGCTGCCTGCTGCAGGCTGGGGATGCTCCCGTGCTCTGCTGATGCCTTTTGGGGCTCCCTAAAAACACAGGCCAGACAAAATTAAGGGAATGAGAAGCAGGTATATTTATTGAAGGGCCTTCAGGTACATTTAAGGCAGACAAAACCCACCCAAAAATGGACCACAGGTCACAGGTTTCACACTTTTATATGTTCGGGGCCATTTGCATATTGGGGGTTAATCTTCCAATTACAGCTTCAGGTAATGAAGTAATTTACCCCAAGTTTTCTCCCCCCAGCTCACTTTTGTTTGCATCTCTGTGAGCCTGAGGCAGTGAGGTGTCCTTGATTTCAGGCCTGGAGAGGAATTGTTGTGTCAAAAAGGGGAAACTGCAGCTGACACTGTGTGTGGAGTTTGGAGTTACACACTAAAGAATTGCAGGATTATAAATAGATGGAAAATATCAGAGCTAAAATCCCAAGGCAGAGACTGGCAGCTCTGCTGTGCCCTGGGGATGGGTTTGGGGCAGGGCTGGGCACAGGGGAGCAGGGCAGGTCTGTGCCAGGAGAACCCTCTGCTCTGAGGGAAGCACCTCACTCCTGCCCTGCCCAGGGTCAGGCGAGCCCAGAGAATTCCAGAGGATCTCAACCTCTCAGGAGCAGCCAGGCTCCTCCTGGGCCAGGAGCAGATTCTCCCCCAGCACAGATTTTGTGCCTGGAACCCCATGAGATGCTCTGGGTGACCTCACCTGAGGTCAGCTCCTTCTCCAAGGTGTGGAAATCCCAATTTGCTGCAGAGCCTCAGCTCGCCCAGGCCATCTGGGGACTCGGATTCCTCCTTGCAGCCCCTGGGAAGCGCGACTGGGATCGGCTGTGGGGGTCTCATCCCCCTCCAGAGCCCCAGGAACCTTCTTGTGGCAGTTGTCGGTGTCCAGGAATTACAGGCTCAGAATGGATCAGACCCTTTGAAGCCTGGCTGAAAACTTGACTTAAGCCCCCAGAAATAATAAAAGGAAAGCAAAGAACTCAGGAAAGCTGCAGGAAAGGATTAAGGGGGGGGAAAAGCCAACGGGGACAAGCGATTGCAGCTCTGTGTGATGGGGTGACAGTGCTGGTGCTATCACTGCAGCCAGGGGCTGCTCCCAGCCCTGTGCACAAACCTTCATTCCCTTTTTAAATCTGCAGCCATTCTCTTGAGGTTTTTTCTCTGTAGTCGCAGTATTTAGGAAGGAATTAAAGTTTAAAAGCAAAGGGGATTTTTAACCCATTTGCAGGAAACACTCTGTGTGCAGTAAAGAGGCTGAAAATGCTCTGCTGCCTCTCAAGCCCTGGTCAAGCAAAGAGGCAGGCTCTGAAAACCAGCAAAAACCTGGCTTTGGGTTGGGTTTTTACAAACAACTTATTTTGTTTGGTGTCTGTGGAAGGAAACCATTCCTGAGCCCCTTGGCTGCCGTTCCCTTGTCCCTTTGGAAGAGGGTTTGTCCCAGGGACTGGCACCTGGCTGTCCTTGCCCAAATCCCAGCTCCCTCCAAGGTCAGAGCGTGCTGAAAGGGTTAGAAATTCCTGCCAGGAGCTGCATTTTAAGTCTGATGAGTGATCAGCAAACAATTCCAACCAGTGTGGCCCTTATTAAAGCCCTGCTCGGAGCAGGAGGAGACGCAGAGGAATTAATGCAGAGCAATTTCTCCCTCATTTCTGAGACTTATTGGTGTTAATGCAGACTAATGGCCTCCGTTTTTAATTGTTTCTTTGGGTGGATTGGCTGCTTCTGTGCCTGTGTGTCTTCACAAGCTTGGGTTTGTGTGGGAAGCTGGTCAGAGACCATTCAGGGCCAGGCCTGGGAGGCTAAAATGGGGAAAATCCTGCAGTTTCCCATTGTTAACAGCTCTGCTTTTATAAACTGGGTTGTAACACAGCTCCCACCTCCTGGGACATTCCCTGAGCTGTTTGTTCTGTGTTTGCCTGGGTCTGACAGGCCCCTGTGCCTCCAGCCCAGGAGGATCAGGGAGGTTCTGCTGCTCTGAGCAGCATTTCTGTGCCTGCGGAGCTGCCACAGCTCCGTCCCGGTGCTGGCTCAGGGTTCAGCCCCTGGACTTTCCTCCTGACTGAAGGAAAGCTTCAAATTCCTGAGCAGAGCCCCTGGGTCTGCTGAAGGTGTTTGTACAACCCCCGGTACAAATGGGGCCCAGCAAAACCCCCGTGGGCACATTGACTTTGAAAACAAAACCTCCCCAGGCACCTCTGGGCACGCCGAGTGTCCTTCAACCCCTAAAATTGATGGGCTCCCATTTCCTGAATGCTTTCAGGTGGATTTGTGGGACTGCCCTGAGAGCAGAGCCCCAGCCAGGAGCACAGATCCAGCTACCAAACCCCAGGTGCCTCATCCCAAACCTGCCTTCCACTGCAGGGTTTTCCTCTGCTTTTCAGCACAGAAATAATGAGAAACGGACAATAAAGATTGATGTTTTCCTTACAGGGGTAATTTTTGATGTGGGAATAATTTGTTTCCTTAAAAAAATAAAAGAAAGGAAAACAAAAAAGAGTTGGAGTGGAGATCTGGGGGATGGAAAGGACCACGAGGTGTGAGGAAAACTCCTCGGGGTATCCAGGCCTGGCTCCTGCCGAGCTCCCCGGTGCTCTGGTGGCTCCTCCAGTTCTGGGGTTCTGTTCTTCCCTCACCTCCTCCAGCCCCCAATTAAATACAGATGTGCTTGGAGGGCACTGACAACGAGGAGAAGCATTTTAGTGTGAATTACAGACCAAGATCTGATGAAAAGCCCAATTTCTGTGTGCTGGCCCCTTGCTGTGGCCCTGGCAGGGTTAAGGGCACCTCTCTCCCGGCAGCAGCTCCATTCCATTCCCTGCCTGGCAAATCTGTCTTTGCTGGGAATCCACAGCCTAAACCAGAGCCACCAGCAAGAAAAATGGAAAAGGCTCAAAATATAACAGCCCTGGGATATTTTGGTAAATGATCATGATGTAAAACTGCGCAGAGATGGATCGGGGAAGGGATAGACAGTTATAAAGTGAAAAAAATGATGGCTCTGGAACTAATCCTGAATTAATGACACCTTGTGGATCTTCCCTGGCTGCTGCCTGAGCAGCTCCAGCTGGCACAGGGGAGTTTATTGATCCGAGCTGGTGTTCCAGCAGCACAAGCTGGGATGGGCACGGGGCAGAAGCGCTGGGCACATCACAAGGCACTCAGGGTGTGCATTCCCAGACTGGGGTGATGTCAGAATCTGAGGTATTGATGATTCTGGGATTGTAAAAGTCTCTGTCTGTCAGCCCCGCTGCCAAAGCAGAAGCCATAATTGGTCTGTGCTGGTTTCCAGGTTGTTTATTCTGTTGATCTCTCACATGTTCTGCTGCCCTGCCCAGCTCTGTCCTGCAGGGCAGCGTGTGGGGCTCTGCCCTCAGTGGGATGTTACAAACATTAAATACCAGAAACTCCCTGGGCTGGATTTACAAGAACGTGCCAATATCTGTCACCTACGTTGGACAGTGTGTCCCCAGCCTGAACCAACAGAAAAATGCCAACACCACAGTGAGACATGGAGGGCATGAAGAAGGAGAAAAAGGACAAGGCACACCCAATTTCCTCCAGCTTGTCCCCTTTGGATCCCTCATCTAGAATCCTAAAATTTTACTTTTGCACCTGTGCCACACTTAATTATTACTGATATCAAACCCTCAGAGCTGGTAATTCATCCTGTAAGACTGAAAACTCTTTTCCATGGCCAGAGATCACAGCCAGTGTCTCTGGGGCTCTGTCCAGGGGGTTCCTGACCCTGCCAGGGTCCCAGGGCAGCCAGAGGGAAGCCCTGGACTCCCAGCCTGGGTGATGCTGAGCAGAGAAGCAGGAGGAAGAAACTCCCCGCAAAGGTGAAAACAGCGTTTGGGCCAAGGGAGATTTGTTCTGCCCCGAGCTGGAGTCACTGAGGGCAGGAGGAAGGAACAATTTGTGCCACAGAGCCCACACGGGTGTAACCCTGATGCTGAATTAATTACAGGCTGATGAGCTCCATAAATACACCATGCTCTGATCATTTATCTGAAACCTCTCATCTGGACTATAATTAGTAGATAAAAGACTTTAATCTTTCCTTTCTTCATGTTTGTTTGTACCTGTTTATGGGTTTAATTAAAACGAAAGCACTTTAAAATAAATTATCAGAAAGGAGTGATGAAGAGGAGGAAAGAAGTGGGGGAGCAGAGGAAGGGGGTGGGAGGAGGGCTCTGGATGGCAGGAGAAGAGCAGAGAGCAAACTTGATTTTTAAAATAAAGCAGGAAAAAATGAAATTATAAAGGAATAACCTTTAAAATAATTAACCAGATTCTGTCCTCTTCTGCACTAATGACTCTGAGCTCAGTTACCCACTGGCTCCTGATGTCCTCCCTGGCAAGCTGGGGCAGTGCTCAGCCAAGTGCCAGACTCCAGGATTAAAATGCAGCAGGAGGAAAGTGAAATATTGGTTTCCGTTCTCACATCCAGCCCCAATCTGCCTTTGAAGAAAGTGAGCTGCATAAAAAATGGATGAAAAGGTTCCTTGGGAAATGGCAGCATGTGCCTAGGGCAGAGGCTGGGCTTTGGGGATGGATGGAGTTGTTGAGGTGCTTGGGGGGCTCTGCCAGCTGCCCTGTGCACCGGGGAGGCCTCAGGTGCATGAGGGTAAAAGCATCAGTGGCTGATGTTCCAGGCTGGGCTTTGGCCTCAGCACGAGCTGGGATTTTGGTTTTCTGTGTCACTGTGCCCCAGGGGCAGAGGGACACCTGGGCTCAGGGGCTGAGGGTGCTGTGGGGCTGGGCCAGCCACACCCTCAGGGTTCACATCCCTTCTTGGCTCCCAAATCCCTCCTGCCCCTGCACAGCACAGGTTTATCTCTGTGTGGCCACGCTGGAGATTATTGGTGGGTTCTTTTCCCTGCTCCTTTCCTAACACCAGTTGGGCTTTATTCCATATTCCTTGGAATATGAAATATCCTGCACAAGTATCGACAAGGATCACCCCAGTGTGAGCACAGAGGAGTGGGATGAGAGGGGGAGAGGTGGATTTCCTACACAAACCCCCCCCTTCAGCACCTGTGGCACGGCCAGGGGAGCTGTGCGGAGCCAGGAGGAGAGGAGAAGACTGGAATGGGGATTTTGGGTGGGGAAGCAGGACTGGGCAGTGCTCAGGCAGCCCACAGCAAGGCACAGCCCCATCCCCACTCTCAGCCAGCTGCTCTCCTGGATGGCACCCCAAAAACCCCTAGTGTCCATCCCCTGCAGCTCCCAGGGCTGTGGGCACAGCAGGAGCTGCCTCAGTTTACCCGAAGCACTGGGAGGAGGCAGAGCAGGCTGCTGCCCTGGGAGGGCTCAGCTCTGTCAGCCGAGCTGCTGGACAGCTCTTCCTCCCCAAAATGCTGCGAGCTGGAGCCTCTGCTCCTGCTGGAGAGGCTGGGCTGTGGGACTGGGGCTGGGCTGGGCTGGGCTGGCAGAGCCTGGCACATCCACAGCCAGCAGCCTGGGCAGGCACAGCCTTCTCAGGGTGATTTTTCAAAGCTTTTCTCTGCTGTGTACCCCTGTGGGGCTCGTAGAGAAATGCGTGTGTCTGTCAGAGAGGGGGACACGAGAGGCACTCACCTTGTGAGCTTCGGAGGAGATTCAGCTCCTTGTCCTCCTCTGACCCCAGCATCTGAGGCAGCGGAGAAAGCCTCCATCTGGGAACAGAACTGCATCATCCTTCCTCCTGCAGGCTCCTCTGCCTTGCCCTTTTTCTTGTCGGAGATCTTGTTCAAATCCTGCCTCTCTCACATATGATCAGCTTCTGCTTTGCTGGAGTCAGGAGTGAAAACAAACAGGGCTCAGCTCCAGCTGCTGCTGGCTGCTCACAGCCCCAGGCTGTGCCTGCGGGGCTCCCAGCCCTGCCCTGGCCCCGGGCAGTGCCCAGGTGCCATGGGGCTGCCCCGAAGCATGGGCTTCAGCCTCCCCCAGTTTGTTTGGGGTCAGGTGAATCACTGGAGCTGCCACTGCCACCCTGAGAGTCAGGAATGGGAGCAGGGTGGGACTGGCAGGTCCTGGGCAGGGGGTTTGGGTGGTCAAACACACCTTCAGCCCTGGGCTCTGCCCCTGGGCATGGTTTCAGGTCCCTGAGGGGAACTGGGCTCCTGGCTGCTGGGAAATGCAGGAGTTCAATCAGAGTCAGGGAAATCAGAGATTCCACAGGAATTCCAACAATCTCAGCCTGCTGTTGATGATGGATTTAGCAGGTGGAAGGTGGAAGGTGACAATCCCCAGGGCTTGGGGTGTGTGTTACCAGCACAGGGGTTACAGTGCTCTGGCCCACCCCTGCCTGGCCCTGCCCTCTCCCCATCCAGGTCCATCCTTCTTCTCACTTCCACATCCAGGAGATGCACTCAGTGCCTGGATTGCCATGGATTGCCATGCTGCAGGCATTTCCCCCAGAAATCCCCTGCTCAGTCAATTAGCAGCACTGAATTTCATATTACTTAAAATCTATTCTCCTGGAAGGCTGGAGATTCCAGCATCTCCACCTATATTTGCTGGGATTATTGCTTAAAGGTGGCTTAGCTGCTAAGCCACTGCTGCAAAAGCTCCATTAAGTTCTTTCCTTGTTGTACATGGGAGCTGGAAGGATTTCAGGGCAGCAGGTCGGCTGCAGAAACCCGACACCCATTCTTCCAGCAATTAAACTTTGCAAAGCAAACTCTGTGGATTTCATTAAGGAAATGGAGCCATCAGCACTGGGAATAGCGTTTATGAATATTTCCTTCTAATGGCCAAGCCAGCATGTTGACAGGATGAGTTATTAGACATATTTACAAACAGCTGTTAAAAAGCCAATGTGGAGGTCCCAGCTGTATTTTTTTCCCCTTTTTATGCAGGGTTTATAGCAGTTATCCTTCGAAAAGCCAGCTTGATTGGCTTTCCTGCAAGGAGAGGTAAGCTTGATTAATTTATTCCTCCTCCCCAGGCCTGCAGTCACAGGGAGGGAGCAGTCTGTCTGTCTGTCTGTCTGTCTGTCTGTGTGCAGCTCACTCGAGGAATAAACCCAAGGGCAGCCAAGCAGCTCCCAGCCTACACGTGTTTAATTACAGGCACCGTGTACTTCTGTTGCTGGGATCAATAAGTTTCACTCTTATCCCCAATCAGGCAGATTTTTCATGGAATTTTTTTCCTTTGCTGTGTGAAATGAGACGTCACTGGTGAGAGCTGGACACCAGGGTAGAGGATTTGGGTCCTGGTGACACCAGGGGAAGGGTTTGGGTCCTGGTGACACCATGGGGGAAGATTTGGGTCCTGGTGACACCAGAGGTGAGGATTTGGGTCCTGGTGACACAGGGAAGGGTCTGGCAGGATTCACTGGCTGATCCTCCAGGTTTATAGGGACAGGCAGCAAAGAAGGGGTTAAACCCAAGGTGTTGCCCCTTGGGGAACTGTGAATTCTGTTCCTTGGAAGTTACAGGAACGGTGGGTGGGTGCTGTGGCATTGGATGATGAGCACAGAATGTGCTGTGAGATCACTGCCAGCACCTCCAGCCTCTTCTCCTGGCCCTGTCCCCTCCTGCCTCAGTCTTCCGCCTCTCCCTCCTCAGAACAGGGGGAAAAGCTGGAGAGGTCCTGGCAATGTCCCCAGGTGCTGTGGGACCGTGTGTCCATGGCCCCAGACCTGGAATTGCTGGGCTCTTCCCCACAGCCAGGTTCCCACAGATCCCAGCCAGCCCCAGCAGCTCTCCTCTCCTCTCCTCTCCTCTCCTCTCCTCTCCTCTCCTCTCCTCTCCTCTCCTCTC